CCAACTCAGGCTGCCATTAATGAGACTATATATTTGGTGAATAGAAAGAAACATTTGAACTTCTTACTCACAGTGTGGTTTTTAAATATATGCAATCCAGTAATGATTGAATGCTATCCATTATGTTACCTGTAATGTACATTACATGTAAGTGGTAAACTTGAAATTGTTGCAGTGTAGGAAAACATTTTTGTATTTTTAAGTCTTCTCCTTAAAAATTTTTAAAAATAAAAATTACACCAGGTAAATTTAGATGAAAACAAAAACAAATTCAGAATCTCACCAACCTACAAATATACTGAGTAGTATTTATTGCAGCCCTAACCTACTTGATATCTAAATGTGGAGTTTATTTTAAAACAGTTAATCATGGGCTGCCTCATGGAGCAAATCCTCTCTCTCCCTCTCTCTACTTAATGTGGCAGGGAAAACTGAGAATTGCTTCAGTAATTATCAATGATATTAATAAAAGATATATGAAGCTGTAATATATTGCAATAAATGTGTTTTTCCAGAGTTCTTCAAAATTTCTAGGATTATGATTTTATAACTTCCACTTGCCTATAAATAAAGTTTATATTAGTATTAACTAACTTATTGACTCTCCAAATGGAAAAATGATTTATGCAAGAGCTATCAGTGATTTAATAGAATCAATAATAGTCCTTTAAGAGTTGTATCCTTGTAAAACTATGCTACAAAATATACCACTGAATGAGAGAGGGAAGAGGGAAGAAGAGAGAGTCAGAGATCACCAAGCAAATTTCTTTTTGAAAATTTCCTGTAGTGTCTATTTCATTAATAGGAATGTTTCTGATTTTATGAATATGAATATCTTTTCTAGGTTTCTGTTTACTTTTTGAGATAGTTTTCTAAGAAGATATTTAAAAATACTGAGTCCATTAAGGCTGCTGTAACAAAACACCGTAAACTGTGAAGCTTATAAAAATAAAATGTATTTCTCACAGTTCTCAATATTGGGATGGCCAAGATCAAGGGACTGGGACATGCAGCGTGGGGTTCATAGGCCTTCCCTGAGTGTCTCCACCTAGGGAAGGAGCAGAGCAGCTCTGTGGGGCCTCTCATAAACGAGCTAAGCTCATTCCTGTGGCTGTGTCACCCTCATGACCTAATCGCTCCTCAGTGTCCTCGCCTTCCAGTATCGTCACACTGGTTTCAACGTATAAATTTTGGAGAACAGAGACCATGGCAAATGCTTTTAAAAATGTAAAAACAAAATTTATTTTCAGAGAGCCTTTTAATTTATCCACAAATACTTACTAAACAAATATTTTGTAGAAATTATTAATGATTATGTTTTATAACTATTGTCAGGGAATTTGTAATATAATATTTTTATATACTGAACTGCCAGAAAAGCTGGACAAGGTGGAGCTAGTGTTTGCAGCTTATTTTCAAAATAATGGAAAGAAAAGTTGTTTCTTTTACATAATACATAATGTTTTCAGGTAATGAAAAAGAATAATTTATTGTGAATAATAGTTCATTTTATAAATGTAAAACTATTTTTATAAATTTCATTGTTGATTTTTTAAATGTTAAATTATCGTGAGATTAAAATATTTCTAAACTGTGATACCTTTCTGTTTCACTGGACTTTCTGAATAAAAGCCATAAAAAATAACTGAAATGGGGTGTTTCATTAGTGCTCAAAATTGATTTTATAATTTTAGAAATGTGAGTCATATTTTTTTACAGTAATTTAATTAAACTGATAAAGAGTGTAACACTGGTCTTTCAGGGGAGCAGAATTTCCATATAATCATAGAGTTAGAAGCTGATTGAAGAGACAGTTCTCACGTTTACAATTCATTATATAATTATGTCATGTAATTTTTATACCAAAATTTTGCTTTTTGGCTTTGTCACAGTACTTAAAACATATGACTAAATTTAACTTAAACATTGTGTAATGCTTTGGTGCAGATATTGTTAATCCAGGTGTTTAATTGTTGGTATACTTTGTTTATACTTGAAGCTTCATTGTAAAATTTCTAAATTATGAGGGCCATTAAATCTAATTTTATAGATTTCTGCTAAGGTTCCTTGTATTCATTTAAAAAGAAAAATTACAGTTAAAGTTTATAATGAAAATCTGTAGCTCTCTGCCCCACCACTCCCTTTCCCCCATGCTATTCCCCTGCAGTAACAGCATTCAAATACTGCAGTTATTTTTATGTCATTTTTTCTCCATAGTTTGAAAACATGTTTATATCACACTTTTTATTTAAGTTTTACAACTTACCTGTTAACTTCCTCCTTTCAGACATTTCCTCACCTGCATTATCCCAATTTCTTTCTTTTCTTTTAATACATGGCACTGAGAATAGAACCCAGGGCCTTGCACATGTTAGGTAAGCACTCTACAACTGAGTTACATCCCTGGCCTAAATGTCTTAGTAAGTAAATATTTTCATTTAGGTCTATAGTTACTATTTGATTTCAAACCATCTTTTAAAATATGAAATGGGTACTTTTAATGTCTCAGTGGCAAGTAGATTGATATATTTTAATTTCCTAAAATGAGAAGAGTCAGGAAAACTACAACTCAAAAACTCAAAAACTACAACTCAAAAACTATTTTTTTTAAGTTTATTGTAGTTTATTGTAGTTTATTTTCTCAGTTTTCAGAATCCGTTTGCCTTTTTAGGTCATTATTACATCTCTATTTATTTTATCAGACTAGACCTAAAATAGTAGCTCCAATGGCAGAATATTAAGATGGTTATACATGTGAGGTATGTGACTAAGTGTATTCTGTTCTATTGTTATCGTGAAGAAGGACGAGAATCGGTTTACTTTCACTGGAAGGAAGGAAAAGTATAAATTCACAGTCTTGATCCAAGGCTATTTTTTTTCTGGTATCTTCTGCCACAATACACTCTGAAGATAGATGGATCATCCTGACATTTTAAACAATAGCATATTTGCTCCTATTCAGCCAGAACTTTTTACTTCATAAACAGAAGTGGGCTCTTGAAGGTGCCTCTGATGAACCAGGCCTAGACCGCTTGTACCAACTCTGGAAGACTGCAAAGTCACCTCACTTGCAGATCTTACTGTGATATTGGTTGACCCCTTTGTTGAGTCTGCATCACAATTTAATTTCTTCTCTGTTTGTTTTCACTCTCCCTTTCAAGTATGGATCCTTAGAGCATTCACTGATAAATATCCCACATACTAATCTCATGTTCTAATTCCTGACAACACAGAACATTTGTTTATATTTATATGTCATCAATAGAACATGAGAAAATACATTTAATCCCAATATAGATTTCAGGATCAACAAAAATCAAATTTGTTAAAGTTAGATGTATAAACTATAGACTACAGTATCATCAGAATTCAAATCTGTAAAATAATCTAATGAAAAGTTTATGCCAAAACACTGAAAACTGCACATTTCTGGTTCTGAGTGATTTCTAGGTAAATTAGAGTATAAAGGATTGGGAGGAAAGAGAGAGGTTAAAAGTGTAGATGAGATAGTTACTGATGTAATTTTTATTACATATTAAAATAAATTTCAGGTAGGCAGGGACTATATATTTGAATTTCCAAGATGATCAGATTCCCAGCAAGTAAGAGATTTGTACTGATTTCTAAATCAGGCAAGAGATTACTCACAACTCTGTTAATTTGTTAATAAAGGTCAAGAAAGAAATATGCTGAAAAATATACTTTTCTTTTAGTGGCTTATTTTTCAATAATTATATCTATTTCAATAAAAATACTTTTGTCATGTTAATTTTAAAAAAATAAAAATAAAATAAAAAATAATTAACTTAATATGCATCCATTTAGCTATAAATGTCTCTAGTTTCTCGCTCTTTATGGCTGAGTAGTACTCCATTTTATAAAAAAAAACAAACATCTTTTTTATAGCTAAGTGGATGAATGTTGAGGCCATACTCAAGTGAAATAAATAGGACACACATGTGTAAATATCGAATAGTTTC